AGGTGGCTCACCTAGCAGGACAGGAGATGGCAGAGTGGAGAATGATTCTCAGACCTAGCCTGCTGGGGGCATGAGGGAGGTGCTGGCTCCTTCAAGAGTCCCCCGGAAACGAGGCCACAGCATTGGGGAGGCAGGCGAAGTGGGGCCTCTGTCTCTGATTCAGGCTCCAGAGTGAGGACAGCCAGGCCTGGGGAATTGCAGAGAAAGCAAAACGCAGCGAAATGAGGCCACATCCCAGACGAGGTTTTCTAAAGTCCCAGATTTCCCTGGGGCATTCGGGTCACAAAGGACGAGTCTGGGGGAATAAGATGAACTGGATCTGGCTGGAGGGTTTCCTGAGTACCTTCTCAACCAGGGATGGGCATCATTTGCAAACGTCAGCTGCCCTGGGGAGGCAAGAGCAAGGGTTTGGGTCACTAGTTGCCCTGGCAGGGATGATGGTTCCCCTTCCCATGATTCCAAGGGAAGACAGAACCCAAGACTTCTCAGTGGAGAGAATTAGCTGCAAAGTCCACCACACCCCAGGTAGGGCCACTGGGTCCCTACCAATGTTCCTGCTCCTAAAGTTGAGAGACAAGCCACTTGCCTTGCCAGAACCTTCCTGGGCTGGGCAGGGCAAGCCTCAGATTGGTAAGAAAGGAATTTGCCCCAGTACCAGCAGAAGACAGTGCTCCCCGACGTAGGGGACAACGCATACTGCTTTGAGGAAGTGGCATCTAGATGAGAATGACAGACAGGTTAAGTCTGCCATTCACACAGAGGTGGAAGGTGGAAGGTGCCCTAAAAATATGTGGGAGACTAAGTGCATTCATGACCCCAATTTTCATGTCTTTCCTTCCCCATATCCACGCCTGTGGACACGGCCCCCTCTCACTGACTATAAAATCTTTTCTTTTCTTTTTAAAGTAATGCTGGAGATTGACCTAGGCCTTATGTATTTGAGGCAAGCACTTTGCCACTGAGTTCTATCCCAGCCCCCTCCGGCTGTCTCCGGGTCTTCCCGTGGGACTTATGGGCAACAGCAAACTTGACCCAAGAGGCTTTAAGGCAAGCTCTCCTGCTCTGCCTTCCCCATGAGGAGATGCCCTGACTGGCCTGCTGGAGGGACAAGGTCACACCGAGTCAGCTCAGACAAGAAATGAGCCCTGACATGGGGAAGAGGCCAGCCAAGATCTGCCGAGCCAGCTAACAAAGCAGCAACTGAAGTCAGAGGTGCGAAAGATGACTCTGAGGTAAGAACAGGTCACCCACAGCCCTCGACTAATGCTAAGCCGTTGGGCTTGGCGATCTCTATGCATTTTTGTGGCAGAGGCTAAGTGGTTCAGGAAAGGGGTGTAGAGCAGATGTCATGGGCTCAGATGGGACCAGACTTCTCTAGACAAAGTGTTCGCGACGCATCTTCAACATCAACTTGGCAGGATTTGGACCCTCATAGGAGACACACGTTTGGGAGCCTCTGGCACCGTTTCCCTCAATGTGTAACTGAGGTGGGAAGGCCCACTCTGAAGGTGGAAGGGGCACCATCCCGTGGGCTGGGAGCCTGGACTGAATAAGAAAGAAAAAGTGGGCTGAGTACCAGCATCTATCTCTCTCTGCTTCCTGAGTGTGGATGTCACGTGACCAGCCGCCTCACACTCCTGTCACCATGTCTATTCCACCTCAATGAACTACTCCCTCAAACCATGAGGAAAACAAATAAACAACCCCTAAATCTTCCTTCCTTAAGCTGCTTCTGAGTCAGGCATTTTGTTACAGCAAGGAGAAAACTGAGCGATGGGCTGGACTCCTCCTCTCCTCCTTAACATTCACCCATCTGGTCCGGTCAGCATTGTAATCGGAACTCGGAATGTCCTCCCCTCTCCAGATTCCTACAGGGCACCGGCAGCTCGGGTTGGATGACAGCACTCTTAGCTTCTGTGTCTTCCCGACTGTGGGCAGAGACAGGGAAAGAGCAGTTTTCTGGCCCCTTCTGCTATCAGCCTCTGACCCTGGCCAAGCCTCAGTTTCCTCATCCATCAAGTGGGGCCATAGCCTCATCTCTTCAGGTTGCTGTGAAGGCCACTGGTCTTGTTATTTATCGAAGAGCCCCACACTAATGGGGACACCTACCTTCCTTCCTCCAAAGAACTATTCTGGGAAGCTGGGAAATAATGGGGCTATGAGGGCTAGCTAGAGGAAGCGGGCCTTGGTCACCATGATATGACTAGCGGCCTCCGGCTGCTATGCTGGTCTAAAATCCCTTAAGTTGTCATAACAATGAGGACAGCCACTAATACACGGCTGCAGGGGGGCTTCCCAGTCACCAGGGAGACATCAGAGGGTGGCTTTCTAGGCAGATGGCAGCCACGTTCTTTCTGCGTGGTGGCTGAGCTCCACACAGGGCATGGAGAGGAGAGGTGCCATGGTAGTTCCTTCCTCAGGAGCGTGTGGTCCCCAGGGAGGCATGGCACTGGGTGTTGGGGTGTTGCGGTTAGGTTTGGATTAGCTCTGCCGGCAGACAGGCTACTTGTGGGCCTTCAGGGCATCTACTTGGGAATCCACTGATCTCATGGGCTCATGTGCCACTTGGTCCCCAGAATGTGGCACTGTTTGAGGAGGTAGTAAACCCTTTTAGAAGTGGAACCTTGTGGGAGGAAGTGGACCATTGTGGGTGGGAGGAACTTTTGGCCTGTTGCCTGGCCCTGGTTCTTGGTCTGTCAAGATGGAAGCAAGCAGTGTTCCTACATTGACTGCCACACCTGTCAGTCACTCCCTAGAGCGATGGACTGCACCTTCAAGCCACAAACCAAAATAAAGCCTTCCCTCCCTGGGTCATGGTAATGAGAAAGGTAACAACCACAGACTATTTCCCAGAATCCCTTGCAGCTAGGCTACCATGTCCTGGCCAAAGGAATATGGCAGGAGCCATATGAGGACTCCAGGATGTGTGCCTGAGGGGCAGGGCAGGAGTTCTTCCTCCTCCACACTGGAGGACTGGGCATTCTCCGGGCTGTGTGAGGACGCATGCCCTCCAAACCAGGCATGCTCACCTTCCCACGGTCACTCTGGAGACTCACCTTCTTTGTATAAAAGGCCCCCGAGGCCAGGGCTCGTCACAGCCAGAACACACCCTCGCTCGTGTTCACTCTCTCAGAAACCCTTGCAGCTAGAACCTCTGAGTCTGCAAGATTCTTTTGCGGAGCACTGAGGTACAAGACGGCCTTGTACTTTAGGTTCTGTGAGGTATCTCATGCTAAACCATTACCAAGAAATGCTCACACTGGGAGCAGAAGGATTTGGGGGTCTGGATCCCATCTCATCTCTGGGGAGCAGAGTCAGACCACATGGCAGGACAGGTGTTTTCTGTCTGCTTTCTCTGGATGGTCACATGTCCTCACTAAGACTCTTTTCCTCCCATACGGCAAAGGGCAGAGAGAGGCCCAGGTTTTAGTTAACCATGAGGTGCGACTTGAGAGGAGGGGACGCCTGCCTTCCCCTTGCACCTTCCTGGAATATTCATGAGTACCTTGGCTCATCTCTCCAGCCTCAGTTGGCCTGCTGTGGCAACTCATGAATTGAAAAAGTAAATGCAGACTCTTGATATCTTCTCCTTGCCTCGAGCCACACTTCCGGTTTCTGGACCTGGTGTCAGCTTGCTGGTTTTCCACCACTGAGGTACTAGGGGGAGATGGCCCTACTCCCCACTTTGGCCTCCTCAGCAACTCTCACTTTCATTTGAGCCGGGCAGTGGTGACGCACACCTTTAATCCTCGTACTTGGGAGGCAGAGGCAGGCAGATCTCCGAGTTCGAGGCCAGCCTGGTCTACAGAGTGAGTTCCAGGACAACCAGGGCTACACAGAGAAACCCTGTCTCAAAAAACAAAACAATTGAAGGAGGAGTTGGTTGGCCAAGAGAGTGGGGGACTACCTTCCTGTGGCCCTGATGTGAACTTGAGGAACTGGGGTGTAGCTCAGTGCTAGAGTACCTGTCAAGCAAGTATCGGATCTCAGGTTTGATAGCCAGCACCCCCTATAAATAGAATGACAGCAAACTAAATACCACCCCATGAAGAACCCCAAGGCAAACGGCATCTGATATTTGTGAGCCAAGGGTCAGGACCCTGGGCTATGCCTCCCATGGGGGCTTGCATGGCTTGTCTCCTATTCCAAGGCCTCTACCTCTTCATGGTGACCATGCTCAGACTCACAGTCAGGATGGGACTGACCCCAAATAATCTGCTGCGACAGGAACAAGGAGTGGGCACAGGGCCCTGAACTTAGAGGCTGAGGTGGGTGGGTGGTGTCACAAGAGCCCAGGAGTGCAGGACTAGCCTGGGCAACACAGCCAGATCTAGAACAAATGGAAACAAGGAGGTATAGTGTCATAAGAAGCCCCGATGGGGATGATGTGTCCCAGAGGGGATGGGCAATGTGGGGAGCAGCCGCTGGGCCCTCAGCAGCAGGGGTGAATACATTACCAGGAAGCAAGCACCCCACTAAGATTTAAAAGGCGATTCTGCAGGAAAAAATGCCTAGCTACTCCTGGTGAGGTGGGGGGGGGGGGGGGTACGACAGGCAGATGGAGCCCCAGAGGCTTCATTCTCAGGACCCGAGCAACTGGCTCCGCTTCCTCCAGGCCTTACCCGAAGGGTTAAAGCCATTTTCATTAAAATTTAAATTCCAGCAGGCGCTCTCTCTCCCTCCTTCCCCGTACTTTGAACGTTTTGACTGGCAACCATTTCATATTTCAATCTCGGCAGAACAAATTGAATTAGATGTTGAGCCCGAGCTCGGCTCTGTTGGGCAAAGCCCGAGTGCACAGCCCCAGCTGATCCTGCCCCAGCCACCCTGAGCGGCAGTGGAAGCTGTGGACTGTGGGGAGGGTGGATCCCCTGCCCTAGGACAGCGGGGCGGGGTGGCAGAGGTAGGGGACACATGGGGGAAGGGCTGTCTGGCGCCTGATGTGAGCATCTCTTAAAAAAAAAAAGCAACTTTTTATTGATGTTTATCTTGGTCTCCTTTTGTGTGCCACCTGAGTACAAGTGCATGCAGAATCCAGAAGGGGGCACCGGATCCTTTGGAGCTCGAGTGGCTGGCAGTTTTGAATGTGGCTCACTGCAGATGGCTGCTGGGAACTGAACCTGGGCCTTCCGGAAAAACTGCACAGTCTCTTAACTGGTGAGACATCTCTCTAGCACCCCGCGTGTGCATCTCAAGACTGAGGACAGCCTCTGGAGTCCTTCCAGCAAGGACTGCCATGTCTCAAGAAAGACATAGAGACACCCGGGTTTGTCCTCAGGTCCAGGTCCAGCATGGGTTTGAGGAATGAATGCAAGAATGAAGGTCAGGTATCACTGACTCTTACCTCCAACCTCTGGCACTTCCCCAGCCGCTATAGGATGTTCTGATGTCTGTCTGTCCCTTATGGAGTGTGACAGCATGCTGGTGCCTTCCAGAGGCGCCAGGGTGCTTGTGCTGGAACTGGCACAGAGGGCAGTGGCATTCTCTATCTCAGGACTTCATGCTGGCTCAGACTCTACTCTCCTTCCCCATTTCCCTTCCCAGCTGGGTTCTTGGAAGGGTATTCATGTCCCAAACCACCAAAGCCTTCCTGGGTAATGAGTCTAGTCTCCTACCCCTGACCTGCTGGCCGGAAACCACGTCCTCCAGGCCCCTGTCTGGTGAGGCTCAGTGAGGGCCCAGGCTTGCTCTACCCTCTTCTAGGCTCCCCAGCTGTGCTGGGCTCTGGCCTCCTGCAGGCTATTTATGTATGTGTGTGGATGGGGGTAGAGAGGGGTACAGGTGGAGGCCAGAGGGTCGCCTTTCCACTTTTTTTTTTTTATTATTATTCTTTGTAAATTTCTGACTCAGATTCTTACTCAACCTGGAGTTCACTGATTGGCTAGGCTGGCTGCCCACTGAGCCCTGAGGACCTGTCTGTCTCTCTACCCCATAAAAATCAGGGATTACAGGTACACACCACCTTGTCTGGCTGTTGCGTAGGTGCTGGGGACCTGAACTCAGGAGGCTGGAGGACTCAAAAGTTGCCTGCTGAACTCTAGAGCTTAGAGGGTCACTGTCGCAGAGGCCAGCTGCTCCTGTGTCATCCTGCGGAGTTTATGCTGGTGACAGACCGTGGCTTTCTGCCCCAGGCTCTCTGTGACATGTGGGCACATCTTGGTAGGACAGGGAAACTTCCCATCCTGTCTTCCATGGTTCCTGATGGCCCAGCCTTGGCGTGGCAGTGAGCAAGGTGGCTCACTGCAGATGGCTGCTGGGAACTGAACCTGGGCCTTCCGGAAAAACTGCACAGTCTCTTAACTGGTGAGACATCTCTCTAGCACCCCGCGTGTGCATCTCAAGACTGAGGACAGCCTCTGGAGTCCTTCCAGCAAGGACTGCTATGTCTCAAGAAAGACATAGAGACACCCAGGTTTGGAGGTGGTGTAGGGTGATATCTGAAATGAGGTAGGGGGAGCTGAGCCACTCTAGGTTCTGACTTTTATTGCCTAACTCTCAGCGCCCTTGGACTGTAACAAAGTGCCAGCCCCACCCACAGGGTGTGGTCCCAGCTTTGGTACAGGCCACTATGAAAAGCAGGACCTCATCCCCTCAAAAACCACACAGGCTAAGATTCCCCCCAAAAAGTCTGAGTCCTGTCCAGCACCCACAGTCCAGATGACAATGGCTCAGAAGTGGGAGGAGTCGTCTCAGGTCTTCCTGGGTTAGATGGTTGAACATGGTGTGGCTATCTGAGACTACCATGGCCAGCCCATCGCCTGCACTGAGCAGACACCACTGGAGCTCAAAATGATGTAGGTCTGAAACTGCACGCTAGGGGTGTTGGAGCTGAGGCTGGACAGTGGGTGAAGGGCTGTGGTCCCGCTCCCTGCCTGATGCCATGTTCTCTTTTGCAGTTGGTGAACTGGCCCAGGGCGAGGCTTGGACAGGGCTCCCAGGGCCTCCACCTTGAGAGGCAATGGTGATATCTGCGAACCTGGCATCAGTGCTTGGAATGTGGTGCTCCAGGTCTGGGAAGGGCCCTGTGTCTGAGGTGGCGTCCGCAGCTCCATCCTCAGGCCGGCAGTGCTGCAGAGGGTGAGATGGCTGCAGGAGTCTGGCTGGGTGCAGCTGGGGTGGCTGGTGAATGGGGCTGAGGTGCGAGTCCCCGCCTAGACAGCGGCTTACTCCTGCCATGGGCTCTACACTGGCTGTGCACTGTCACCCACCACAGAGTCTCTGCTCCTCGGGAACAAGGAGAGGAGGATGTCGGGTCTGTGTCCCTGAAAGGAGCCACCTCACGTGGGCTCCCCAGTGCGGGTGCTCACAGCTGAAGAGCTTGCTCGTTGTCATCGTCGTTGTCCCCATCTTCCAGCTGCTCCAGGATCCCATCCAACACTGCAGATCGCTTTTTCTTCGGGGGCTCTGTGGCAGACGGCAGAGAGAGAAAAGACCCAGAGAGGGTTAAACAGTGAGGGGGGCAGAGGTGTGAGGCGGGCATAAGGAGAACGAATGGGGAATCGGAGAAGGACGAGAGAACACACAGGCCCTCTCTCTGGCCTCTCCCTGCTGCTGGCCACCTCTGCACCCTCTCCCATCCTTGTCACAGAGCAAAGGACCCACTTTAGGGAGCCAGTGGTCACCTGAGAGTTGCTTCCTTCCTGCCAGCCAGAGGCCTAGCCAACTCTGGCAACAGCTGGGCAGGGAAGCAGGAGCCAGCTCCGTTTCTGTGGCAGCCATGAGCCCCCAGGGTATGGTTGAGTGGCTGTAAGCAGATCAGCCAATGTTAGGTGCGTGGCTGCAGTGCCCAAGGAATCTAGAGAGGCGTGGGGACCATAACAGTGAGGGTGGCTTTGCAGGAGATGGGTTATCTGATTTGGGCTTTGATGAGTGCAGAAGAGTTTTCTATGAGGAAGGGGTACGGGGATTGAGACACACAGCTGTTCCAAATGCCACTGACTGAGTACTCACTGTATGCTATGGCACCTTCAACAACCCCACAGACAAGGAGATGGGGAGGCTGGCTATGAGCTGCTTGCTCCACCAGTCCCTCTGCCAGCCTAACCATCCATTCACTAGTGAAGGTCTAACTTATAAAAAGGCTGCCCACTCAAATTCCCACCTTCAGGAGACTCTAACTCCTTGTGTAAAGCGCCCCCCCCCCCCCACCCTGCACCCTGCACCCCTACCCCGACCCTTTACCTCACACCCGTACATGGCAGCAAATGGGGGCACCATGCCTGGCTCCTCCTGGGAGGTAGGTATGGTCCTAGAGTCCTCTCCTTATCTCATTCTTCTCATGCTTATGAGGATATGGACCCTGCCCACCTCCAACTCTCCCTGTCCACTCTGCCTTGCCCTAGGGGATCCTGCAGAGCCTACGCCCTGATCTCCCTTGCCCTGGCTCCCCACACTTCCCTGGCCACAGCCTGTGCCCCCCTTTCCCACTGTGCAGCAGGCACTCCTGTTTGGGACACTGTACCCAGCCGGGGCTCCCGTGAGGCATCCAAGTGGGAGACGCATGAACACAGGAGCCCAGGGTTGGGGTGGAGGCTGTGCTGTGGGGAGAGGACTTGGCGGGGCGGAGGCACTGGCCGAGAGCCAAGGTCTGGCAGCTATGCCCATCATGTCCAACTGCAGAAAGTGGGGGAAACGGCTGGGCTCCCTGCCGTGTCCTCTCTTCACTCTGCGCCTCATCCCAGCTGCACAATGGCCTCAGGAAATTGAATCGTGGGCAGGTAATAGGGCTGGAAATAGACAACAACAAAGCAGGTTCCTGGCCTGTGTCTGACGCCCCTCCCGCTGCGACCTTCGAGGCCAACAGAGAGCCGGTCAAGCCAATGGGCAAACCACAGCCAGAGCCCACCTACCACTCTGCAGCACCTCCGCTGTGCCCTGTTCCTGGGGGAGGCTGAAGCCGTCATACTGCTGGCGAATGGTTCACAGAGCTGGTCATTCCCTGATCCTGGTGCCCATTCCTCTTACCCCAGGGCCTTTGCACTGCCATGACCTGTCTGGAATGCTCTCTCTACTGGAGCACTCCGGGGTCTCACATCTGTGGTGAAGCTTCCCTGCTCTTCTCTCTTGCTGCCACTGTCTTGGGACCTGGCGGCCCTCAGGAAATGGCGACCGAATGGCTGAAGATGGCCAGGGAATAGCAGGGTCAAAGGGATCAGGCTATGGCAGGAGGGCCAGACATTCTGAAGGATTTATGAGGCCAAGAACGTTTTCCATAAAGTCTTCCCCCGATTTCTCTCACACCAGAGACCTGGTCAACACTTGCTTTTGGAGCCACAAACAGAATCCAGCTGACTCCTGGATGGGGCCTGTAAACACTGCCCCACTAACCACCCTTGGGCAGGAGGCCTTGGGGACAGGGCACCCATTGCCCCTACCCTGGGCACATGGCACCAGACAGAGGTCTCTACTCCGTCCAGGCCTTTGTCCCCTTTCTAAAGAGCTGCTCTCTCGCTCGAGCACCCAGATGCAGGGGTGCTTCTTGCCTGGGGTCATTCCCTTAGTCACCGGGTCTCCTGCCAGGGAGTGGGTGCTCCACACTCTGCCTCTAGGGTGCACTGGGCTATTTGTGACATGCGACCCTCACCTCCATAGCCCCTGGAGCCCATGGGTGCTCCTTCTGCTCGCTGGCACTCAGCCCACTTAGGGAACCCTTGTGAATGGGTCACTCTGCTCACATTCAGACTTCTAGGGAGGTAGAGGAGGCAGTGTTCTGGAGCCTTCAGAGTTCCCACAACAGGGAACCAGCCCCCACAAAGGCCTGGCTTCCCTGAGAAAGCGACTGTGACTTCTGCTTCTGGGACTCTCTGCTTGGCCCAGTGTGAGTGACCATCTGCCAGCTGCGAGTCAGTAAGAGGAGCCCAGGGCTTGGGGAACAACCAGCCATTCCTTCAGCTGCAGGTTAGAAAACGAGTTGTCGGGCTGGAGAGGTGGCTCAGTGGTTAAGAGCACTGGCTGCTCTTACAGAGGTCCTGAGTTCAATTTCCAGCACCCACATGATGGCTCACAGCCATCTATAATGAGATCTGGTGCCCTCTTCTGGCCTGCAGACATACACGCAGGCAGAACACTGTATACATAATAAATCAATCTCAAAACAAACAAACAAACAAATTGTCCAGGGAAGTGCTGGAGGCCTGGGACAAAGGGGCCAGACAGTGATCACAACTCCAGGACCCCAGACCAACAGACTCTGCCATCAGCAGCCAAGTCATGCTGACCTCTGCTGCCTCCTGGGGCAGCTGTGAGGATGAAGGAGTCAAGGGTGCACCTTGCTGTGGGTCTGGCTCGAGTTCACAGCCAGGGATTGGGGCTTGAAACCTGCCCCCCTCACGTAGAACACGCTGGGCCCTGTGTCTTCGCTGCCACCCAGCCCCCCATTGGCCTGCCTCCACACAGAGTGCCGGCTTGCCTGGCAGGAACAGCTGTGGAAACCCCACTTCCCCACATCGGAAGCCTCAGTGGGTCCTCACCAAACAAACACAAAGCAGAACCCGGGGAAGGTGTGAAATAAATAAACGAAACAAGCCGTGCATTTTCCCTCCACGGCGCAGCTGCTCCTGAAGATAAACAAGAAGTGACTGTCACCAAACATCAATACCGAGAAATGAACTTGACAAAAAGCTCGGCCGGCCCCCAGCAGCCCCCCAGTCCTGCCCCCTCCCCCCAACCTCCAAACACCACTTCTGCATTTCTCCAGTTCCCACCTAATGGTTTTATTTTTCAATTAATTCCTTGACAGAATGCCAGCCGGCATCTCTCCCTTCTCTGGCTGGCAATGTCGCCTGTGTGGAAGGCACGGGTGGAGGGCCTGTGGGAGGACAAGAGAAAGCGCTTCCTGGGAGGAGAGGCAGGCAGGCTGGGGATGAGAGCGTGGCTGACAGGGAGAAAGGATGCTGGAAGGGCCTGCGAAGAAGAGACAAGACAGAGACAGCCCAGGATGGGAAGTTAGCAGGCCAGGAGCAGACCTCGCAGCTCTGGCTGGAGGCAGCAGGCCAGGCGCTTCCCCTGTCTGGGCTCAGCTACTGAATGAAGACAGAGCTGATTAGGAACACAGTTCCCAAGTTGCTGGCCATGCATGGAACCCCAGCACCAGAGAGGCTGGCACAGGAAGAAGGCCTGAGCCTGGTGGTGTGAAGCCAGCCTGCACAATGGAGAGATCCCATTTCAAAATACAAAATATGAATGAATATGACTAGTCACAAGGCCTTCAAGACTGTGACCAACACAAGGACAGACACTCAGGTGCCTGAAGGCAGAGGCCAACGTGGACAAGAAGTGTTAAATGTACTATCAAGTGTTTATGATGGCTAGCACCTGGCAACCAGGGAAAGCTGGGACACAGGCAGGAATGGGGTTCTAGGCAGCTGGGGGCTTGCTTAGCTGTGGCAGGCTGAGTGTGGACTTTTCTAAGAATCCCACAAGTTGGATGCATGCTCCCTGGGCTCAGGGGAAGTTCTCTGGGTAGAAGCTCTGCACAAGGGGCCCATGAACACTTGCCTTGCCGTGGGTCCACCCTCTGAGAGTCTCAACAGAAATGAGAGCAGAGCCAGCCACAGGGCAGCATTCATGCAGATGCTGACGGTACATGATGGCCTGGGGGCCTCTGTGCTTTGTCTGTGTGAGTGGGAACCCTGTGCAGCCTGGGAGAGCAGCAGGTGTCAAGGCAGGGAGACTTGCTGCAGAGAGCGAGCGCAGGAGGAGGGAGGCCGGCAGGAGGCCCCTGCAGCCCTGCTTGGCAACAGGAAGGAATATGCCAGTGTAGGGGCCAGGAGGAGTCATCACGGAGTCACACTGGACGACAGAGTCAACAGGGAGTGCACGGGTCACATAAACGCACAGTAGCTCTGCAGGTCTCGCTGTGGGATGTGGGACCAGGGCGGCCAGACCTGATTTCCATGTCAGATCTTCCAGTGGCCAAACAATGACGAATCCAATACTGTTTTGTGTTCACACGTCAAGGGCCAGGCACCAGTGGCTCAGCTGGTGGCCTCTGGTCTACAGGCTCCTCGCTGCCTATAACCGGTACTCGAGGCAGCCTCGGAAGCGGTTTTCCCTGACTTCCTCTGGTTGGGCCAGGCTGTATGTCAGGTACGCTGGGCAGCCTGGACTCTCTGGTTCCTGGGCCTCCAGCCCCGCCCAGGATGGTGGCCGGGCCCTGCCTCTCCCACACCGCCCTGCGGCGCTCCCGTCAGTTTAATTCTGTGATCGATGAGAAGGAGCGGGCGAGATGGCCCGGCACAGCTGGCTTCCCCGTTAGCCCTAGCAGGGATTCGTGGGCTTGCTGGCGACGGCTGAGTGAAATGTTTGCAGAACGCACAGAACACAAGTCAATAACAATTTAGTAGGATTGGGAGCAGGTCCCTTCCTCGCACGGACAGCCGCTCCCAGGGGAGGGTGGCAGAGTG